ACCGGAACCAGGCGCCTCCTGCTGGTGGAAGGGAAAACAACACAAAAGACAAACACACAAACTGGAGTCCTGACAATTTGTGTATTTACTGTTATTTGAGCAGGTAAATAAGATGATTTACCAAAGAAAATAATATTTTTGTTCTTCAAACAAGATGATATTTCTTCTTTTCCAATGTTAAATGATCTTACCTACCTGCTGAAATAAAAAAAAGTTTATTTCAAGAAAAAATACATTTAATTACCATTTAATGATGGTTTATTTTAGCAAAACGAAACAAATGGGAAAAAATAACACAACTTAAAATGACACTACACTCCCACTACCTTTTAATATATGCAGGAAAGTTTATTCTAAGGAAATGAAAGTGTGGAATATTAACAAGTGATGACTAATATAACTTTTCTGTTTTTGCCATAAGCTACATCCTTGAAATAGATTTCTTATTGCACTTACTGCTGCTTTTCCAAGTTAGAAAGAAAAAAAGAAAATCTCTTCTTTTATGAGGTATTTCCCTCTGGCCTCACCTCACCAGCAGGATCAGTTTGTAAGGACAGAAACGTAGGGCGGGGGGGCTAAGAATGGAGGTCAAGGGATGAAATGACAAACTTGGATGTTTTAAAATCAGATCCTTCCAGCTGTAAGGAAATAAATAAAAAGCTTCCTCCCCAGCAAACACACACATACAGCCAATTTATTATCTTATGCAAACCTTGATTATGACTTTATGAATACATAAAAGTTTAAAAGAGACCATCTGTGGATGAGTTGAAATTATTACACAAAAGCTTTTTCTTCAAACTTTAACATTAAAGTTTGAAGTTGTCATTTAAGTACATATTCTGTTCCGTTGGCTGGTTAATAGTCTTAATAGAAAGGTTTGCACTTCAAGACACTTCACTTCAAAACAGAAGAGATGGATCTTAATTAAATCAAGTTCAATTGCTCTGTAGGTTGCATAAAAGTGCTTTAAAAAGCCACTCTGTTTTAACCATAGCAGACACGGAAACTTTCCGCTAACTCCTGCTCTTTATTCAGTTTTTTAAAACCCCTTAAGCCCAGAGGGTCTTAGGAGCAAATTCCGCCTGATTTTAGGTATGTGAATTAAAGCAAGTACAGCTTCCAAACTATAAATTGGAAATACAATTATTTGTATTTGTATGACTGAAAGGCATTGAAGAATATTTTTCAGGTGGAACCACTGTTTTAAAGGTCACCATGTCTGATTTACAGATGATTAATCAAAGAAGAAATGAAAAATATTTAGCCTTGACTATTACTCAAGCTAATTTGGACTAAATAAGTTGAAACATGTTTGTTCCACAAATGTTTTAGTGGGCAGTGTGCTTAGAATGTGATTTTGGCACAAAGCCAAAGTGCAAAAGTGTATTTTTCCAATCATAAAAGGGAATCTGGCATGACAAATATGCTGATTTACATAATTGGAGACCTTCTGCATAAGACAAAGCCTTTGCTCCTAAGATTTAACAATTTTTTCAATCAAAATGTACCAATAATATCGCCACACAGGATAAAAAATAAGAATAACAGAGGAAGCTTATGTAACGCATGCTGGTTACAGCCAATAGGGGTGTGGCTAAAAATTAGGGTGTGGCTAAAAATATATACCTGTTGTTGCATTACTCCTGCAGAGTCACATACGACAGGTGGAATTTTAAATTTCATTTTGTTTGTTTACACAGCTATTAAACCAGAGGTATTTGTGAAATAATAATTTTGAAACATGGTTTTGTCATGATCTGGCCTGATAGCTTCACCTTAATTGTTAATTTCACCAAAACTCACCTGCCTAGTTCTGCCAGGCTCCTAATTTTCCACCGGCGTCTGTGCTTTATAACCCGAGCGATCGGGCCGAACCGATTAAATAAGGTTCATATTCTTGTTCCTTGCGGCCAGTAGATTGAGAGGGTTTTCTTTTTTGTCTTGTCTTCTGATCTTGTCTTGGTCCTTTTCTGCGGAGCCCTCAGGGTTTTTTGCTCGGAAAGCAGAGAAAGTCAGTTTTATTCCCGTAAGCCTGGGTCCAAGGAGGAGACCAGTTTAAAGTCCTGCATAAATCCTGGAACAATGTCTTGTCTCTTCTCCCAACCATTGAGCCAGCCCGTCTGCATCTGTGCGTGTCTTTCGAGACATGGCTCTGGACATGTCTGACTCTATGCCTGCCTTAATGCTCTGAGGAATCCAGAAACCCAGGATCTATCTGTTCCTCTGCTGATCGGAACCCTGGTCGGACTACAGACCCCTGGATCTTAGAACTGTTCCTGCCTTCTCTGTCTTCCCCTGACCTGGATCGGCTGCATGCATGTTATCAGAGACTGCAGAATCAGGGACACTTTGGGTTGCTCAGGGCTGCATGTCGTTGGCAGTGCATCGGCTGATCCGGCCTATAATTGAGTGGATGGACTGAACTGTCAAACCAGAGAGTGCCTAGTTTTGCCAGGCTCCTAATTTTCCACCTGCGTCTGTGCTTTCTAACCCGAGCGATCGGGCTGAACCGATTATATAAGGTTCATATTCTGGTTCCAGGCGGCCAGTAGAGTGAGAGGGTTTTGTTGTCTGTCTTGTCTTCTGATCTTGTCTTGGTCCATCTCTGCAGAGCCCTCAGGGTTTTTTGCTCGGAAAGCAGAGAAAGTCAGTTTTATTCCCGTAAGCCTGGGTCCAAGGAGGAGACCAGTTTAAAGTCCTGCATAAATCCTGGAACAATGTCTTGTCTTTTCTCCCAACCATTAAGCCTGCCCGTCTGCATCTGTGCGTGTCTTTCGAGGCATGGCTCTGGACATGTCTGACTCTATGCCTGCCTAAATGCTCTGAGGAATCCTGAAACCCAGGATCTATCTGTTCCTCTGCGGATCGGAACCCCTGGTCGGACTACGGACCCCTGGATCTTAGAACTGTTCCTGCCTGCTCTGTCTTCCCCTGACCTGGATCGGCTGCATGCATGTTCTCCGAGACTGCAGAATCAGGGACACTTTGAGTTGCTCAGGGCTGCATGTCGTTGGCAGTGCATCGGCTGATCCGGCCTATAATTGAGAGGATGGACTGAACTTTTAAACCAGAGAGTATCAGTTATTGGACGGTGCCCCGAGCCCCCTTTACCCGCTGTCACTGCAGGTCCACAGCAGCCTGTTTCTGTTCTGTTTTAATTGAAAGGCGTGTGGATGAAACACCATGTGACTGTGTTTTGGCCATTTCTATGAATGGATAAACATGAACAGGTGCCAGTTGGGATCTGTATTGGGCCTGCCACTCTTAAGGGGTTTGATTGTTTCAGGTGGAGTCAAATGAAAAAAGTTACTTTCAAAGAATATATTTCTTAATAATCTTTAAATGTTAAAAGAATCTCTTCTAGTCTCGTTCAATTTGAGTACCCAGACTTTCCAAGTGTATCATTAGTCAGATTATTTTTTAACATTCTCCTGGTGGATCGTTGTTATTGGCGTTGGACTCCGCAGGCTGTGAAGATATTGCATTCACACTGAAAGCCCCTCCCAGCTCCCTCAGGTTTTATTTTGTATTTGATTCTCAAAAAGCTTGGTTTGTTTCTGCACCGCCGATCCAGCTCTAATCTGCTGTCTGCTAACTGTCTGAAAATGAAGAGAAACAGCAGATAAGAACGATGGCTGTGTGATCCATTCACGGCGATACTAATTTTTCTTTGTCTCACACACAGAGACAAACATATTGCGTGCCGGGGAAGATGACTCCAGAAGAAAGATTAGCAATTTCATTATGTTTCAATTTTCTCTTGGCTCCTTGTTTCTGTTGTTGTTTTCTTTCTCCTTCCTCAAATTTATTTAAGAAAGGTCACTCAATCTTAACTACCGGATTTGCATGCATGCGCTTGGGGATAAAAGAAAAAACAAACAAAAAAAACATAAAAAATCCTGATCCTTCATCTTTGTACATTGTGTTCAACATTTAGTGTCCTATTAGCCACCCTAAATCCCTGAATTCTGGCTTTAATACAGCCTGAACACTAAGATGATTTACATGCTGCCTGTCAGAGAGAAAACACATTCCCTAGACAGGGGGTCGTCCTCACCTGGGATGATCTTTTTTTTGTTTTTGTTTCCAGGATGACAGGTTTTACTTGTAGACGTCGGCTCCTTCTTTAAACTGTTTGATGTGCCCAGTTTGATGCCATATGCTGAAGAAAACGTCAAAGTTACGCAGCTTGAGCTGGTGGTGCAGCAGACAGTGAGGCGTCCCCTGAAGCTGCGATGTGCTGCATGGCATGAGCAAATGCAATGATTTCAGAAATTGCATTCAGTCATAGAGAGACAAAAGCTTGTGCATCTTTGTTTTTTTTCAGGGTTTGTTTGTCTTTTTTTTGGTTTGACTGAATGTCCTGCTTGGGAAAATCTAAGGATTTAAATTAAACATTTCCCTAGAATCTAAGAGGTGGATGCGTTCTTTTTTTCTGCTGCGTTGCAGATCGATCTTTGTGGCAGACAGTGGTTATCAAATGATTTTAAAAAAAAGTTTTCACACCCACTCTGTCCAGTCTTTGAAACAGTTAAAACAAAAAAGTAAACTGCGGTAAACCATACTGAAAACAATTGCCTTTAAATAACAAAACTTCCATTATTGACATTAATACAGAATGAAGACCAAAATCGCATTGTTTACGCATAGCTACGGTGGCCCTGAAGTGCAAACTGCAACTACAAATCTAAAAGCGCAATTACATTAAGGAAATCGCAACTACATAAAGCAAAGCGCAACTACATTAAGAAAAACAAAACTACATTAAGGAAATCGCAACTACATAAAGCAAAGCGCAACTACATTAAGAAAAACACAATTAAATTAACTTACCAGAAAAGGTAGGTACCAGTGGGAAACATGAGACATCGCTGATTAGAGGACGGCGCTGTTTGACCCTTGAACCGGAAGTCATTCTGCCTGCTGCGGCTTTTGAAAACATGGATATTGTCGGCGCCCCAAACATAGCTGCCGTTATCCAGGAATATATTGAATCAGGACATACGTACGAGGTGATACTGGATATGCTCAAGACTAATCACGAAATTTCAGTTAGTTTGCGTACACCGAAGACACACTTAAAAGAAGCTGGACTGTTCAGACGACGCAACTTCCGGTTCAAGGGTCAAACGGCGCCGTCGTCCAATTAGCGATGTCTCATGTTTCCCACTGGTACCTACCTTTTCCGGTAGGTTCATGTAATTGTGTTTTACTTAATGTAGTTGCATTCTGCTTTATGTAGTTTTGTTTTTCTTGATGTGGTTGCGCTTTGCTTTATGTAGTTGAGATTTCCTTAATGTAATTGCGCTTTCAGATTTGTAGTTGTATTTTGCACTTCAGGGCCACCGTACATAGCCCACATAGAAAAACAAGATCAGCCTAAGGTAATTATTTTTAGATTAACTGCTTATTTTATTGTCTAACAGAATTAAACACATTAAATTTTTTTTTTTTTTATTTCCTCTCAGAAATTATAATTTATCCAGTTATCCTCTATGATGCCTGCAATTACCATAAGTTCCCCCTCCCAGACACACATTACTCATAGAATAAAAATCATTCTACTCAATAAATTTAAGCTGATTCTATTTATTGCAGTTGATAAATAACTAAACATTTAGAAAATTAAATAAATTGTATAAAACAAAGTGATTTATGTATATGGAATAAAAAAACAATATTTTTTATGAATATTTTAAAAAATGCAATCCAGAATCAAAACTTTTAAAAAAGATTTGAAAAAAATTTGTTGTTTGCTTTGATTTGACTTTTTCGAATTATTTCATTTTAAATATATTTTTTATAATTTACATTTTAAATTATATTTTTTCAAAGTTCGCTTTTTTCTCTGTTCTTTTTTTTTAAGATTTGATGTTTTCAGATTCGATTTTTTTTTCCATTCTTTTCTTTTTCAAATTAAAGTTTAGTCAGATCAGATGACAGCTCACATTCTCTTTGTTGTTCTCTTTGTTGCTAACATCCTTGCAGACCAATAGAAATGCGTCTGAAAAAGAATGTGATTTCTAAAACTAAAAAGAGACATTTGGGGGGGAAAAAAAGAAAAAGATAAAATCAGCGAAAACAGCAGAGTTACAATTATAAATAATAAATCTTTTAAAATTGAATCGACAAAACATGTACCTTGTTTACAAAAACAGTGAAACAAACCAAATGTCTAGGCTAATAGCACTAATTTTGTAATTAATTTGTAATTAAAATTTTTGGGGTTAATCTAAATGTAATTTAATTTGACATTAATATACATTTACATATAAATACTACAAACTGACTTATAGCAATCTTTTTACTTCTCTGGAAGAAGAGAATCACAAGAAAATGTGCTTCTATTACAGAGTAATAGCATATTTCTGCTCTCATAGTTTTCTTTTCTTTCAGTTTTACAGATGTTCTTGTGCAGAGCCAAATTAAATGATGTAGACGGATATCTGCTTCCTTCTCAGTTTAATTGAGGCTGTCCCAATTGGAGGCTTATGGAGGTTATTCCTAAAATAGGAACATATGGCTGGATTGTTGTTGCTGGCTGGCATGGGCCTTATTTAGTGGGGAGAGAAAAAAAAAAAGGTTTTTCAAGTGCCGTAATTCCCAAAGCAATAACTTCCTTTTTCTATTGGCAAAATCTAAAATCCCACTTTTGATTTCTATCCATATTCAACAGGATCTGTTCAGAGATGGTTAAACATGGACTTTTCTGCAACATTCCACAGGGATGTTTGTACTTTAAAAAAATGCGAAGCAAACAATAATCCTGCCCAACATCAGGAAATGAATCAGTTACTTTATGGTTTCAAATGAGGTGTTGTGAAAGAGCTATTTATAATTGGGGTTTAAAATTGTTTGAATGAATTGTTTGAATTATGTTGAGTGTTTCTGTATAGAGTCCAACAAGCTTCTTCTGCGAACAAATGAAGCTTGAATAACAAACAAATGACTCTGGTTTGTGTTCCTCCTGTTTCTCTTTCAGCTGATTAACCAGAAGATCAGGATGTGCCAACAGCTGTACAACTGCAGGTCATTTGTCTCCGTGCTGGAGTACCTCCTCGCTATCGGCAATTACCTGAATGAGAACGCTGGAAAGGAAAAGGCCAAGGGATTCCGCCTCTCGTCTTTAACCAAAGTACGATTCCTACACCCTCGTCTGACCTTTGATTTAGTTTAGCCTCAGCCTAATAGCTCTGCTCGTTGACATACACCGCATGGTCCCAGGGCATCTTTTGGTTTTCTCTGGGTCAGGTAGGTTCAGTTGGGTCATTGATGATGTCACTGCCTGGATCACCAGGAGGAATCAAACTTAGCATAAAAAGGACATGACTGGCTTGGTGCTTCAGAAATGGAGGTTGATCTTGGCATCAAATTAAAAGCAAGGTTTAGGTTGGGCTTAAAGGTGACATCTAAAACTTTTTCACAAATTGGTTAACAAAAACATAAAACAAAATCTCCAGAGCATCTATATTAATTCAGATTTAGTGTTAATTCTACTGATAATAATCAACTATATAAACATATTTCTAATACATTTTCAGTCAAAAATAGATTAAAATAAAAATGTTCTCTGAGCTGTTATCTTAAAGGTTTAGAGCACAATCTTTTATTTCCGGGTGGATCATCTAAATAAGTGGTCCTCCTAATTGTCAATCATTCTGGTGATTTCATATCTGGCGTGTTTCTGTGGTGAGCTCCGACAGCCACTGAAGGTTACATTTCTCACAGTGGTTCTTTGAAAATGGTGGAGAGATGTCTATATCTACAGTTGATTTATTAAAAATGCTTCTCAGTAAAAGTCAACCGCAATAACTCCAATAACAAACGATAATTTTATTCAAAATGTATTTATTAAAAATGATTAACAATTCCTGTAATGAATGAAAAGCACAATGAAAGAAATAATGTCTCATCTAAACATTTACAAATGAGCTAATTAACAAAAAATAACTCAAAATGTACTAAAAACAAACAAACATATCAATAGACTATCTTTACTTTCGGAGTCCAGATGGCTTTTCAGATCCCTTGCACCTCCATTGGACACTGAGGCATATGTGCCTGCTTTGCACACTGTGCAGAAGAAGAATTTGTCTCGACCCGGTCTGAAAGCAGGGAAACTCTTTTGTA